TAGTACTCCTTTAGGAAATATTTAATTATTTTTTGGCAGAAAAGAATAGAGTTAATAAGCTAGCAATTTAATAATACCAAGGCAGTTTTTATGTTCGTGGACAGCTTCTCTTTGGTGTATACATTTACAGCTTTGAAAGTTCAACTTTTTTGATTTTTATTTAAGAGAACATTAGCATGTAGGATTTTAAAATCTCAAGGCAGTCAGGATTTCAGCAATGATTTTAGTTAATTAATCAAGAAAACCAATTTAAGGAGAGAAAGAATAGTTCCCCAGTTTTACTCTCTATGAATGGAATTATTTTATCTACTTTGTATAGTTTCTAAGAGAATTCAAATAGAGGATAATGCTGTATGTAAGGTCTTCAGCATAATACCTGACACAAATTTGTGCTAGAAAAATGTTAGTTGTTAAAATATATGTTTAAACTTAATTTATTGGACAGAGGCAGTTCCTTCCATATTTCTGTTTACATATTGTTCCTCTTTCTTTAAATGAAACCTCTTCTCATGCAGTTTGTATTGCATAAATTTTGTCAAATTAAGGTTAAAGATATATATTTAATCTTTCTGAGGAACTAAATAAGAGTTAAAGAGGGATGAAAGTATAGATAAAGCAAAATTCTTTTTTTTTTTAAATTAAATCCAAATTTTATTAAGCACTTCAAATTACATACGTCAGACTTCTAGAATGGAATAGAACTATTTTGGAACTGGAGAAAATGGCATAAACACTGACATCCCTTGAAACTCCAATTATAATGAAATTCCACTGCAAACCACATCCCCACTATATAACAAGACTCAATATTACCTACCCCTTCACTTTGGCAATAGCTATTTCCTAAAGGAATGAAAAAAATAGTGATTTTGCTACTTTAAGTTCATTAAAAATGCGATTCTATCTTTAGATAAAAAAATTTTCAAGTTCAGAAAAAGCTGTGTTTAGATGAGCTATGGTTACAAAAGAAATAAAAACCAGCACACAATGTCTAATTAAAGCAACCCAAATCATTTTGAAAATAAAGAGGAAAAAAAAAACTATTACTATTGGTTAAGGATTTCCAGTAGTAAGTTAAAAATCTCTGGAGGGAATGGATAGCACTACACAAATAATAATATGTGTTCACATTCTGAGACCTTAGCATTGTCTTTTCATAAAGGAAGCCCTATCGCCTCTAAAGATGAATTCAGTGTAATTTTATTAAGATCAAAAACTCTAGACCTTTCTCTAATTACAATCCAGTTAGTCCACATTAGTCTCACTGTCAAAAAAAAAAGTCCATCCCCCAAAATTAACAGTAGTTAGCCTGAAGTATTTTAAATGTGGCTCTATAGTCTCAAATTTAATGGCATTTTTTTCCCCAAAATGGTCTTATTTGTACTTTATTCCCATGATCCCTACAGTATTTACTACAGTATGATCATCAAAAATACTGGAAAAAAAAATCCTTGAACCATTTGGAATAGTTCATCTATCCACTTCTATTAAAATAAGAGCCACACAAAGATCTGAAAGAGGGTTGCCTGCCCGGATCCAGAGGTACTTAGCCTCTCTTTTCCAGTTTCATTATCAAAGCGTGGTATGAATAAGACGCTGAATATCGCACTTGTGTTACAAAAAGGCCCAAAATTTTGAGCTTTTAATGAGACTGAGAAACA